GTTCATCTAAACCCTGATGTGGAAAACAAGGAAGCACGACTCCTGTCCCGAATCCCCATTGTTTTCTATGTCTAGAACAGTAAAGATATTTTATTTTTTGTTTTAATAAAAAAAACCAACATTTCAGTTGTTTTGAAATTTGTTTGCACTGAGTTGAGTGAAGTTAACTTGGAAAATTTTCTATTTCAAACATACCACTGCTCAAAAGACAAAACTACTCATGTAAATAGAGAAGAGTCATTAAGACTGCCAGGCATGGTTGAGTAGCTAAACTAAGTTCCAAAAAGCAAACTGATGTAAAGTCAGCACTGGGAGCCTCCACCACCCAGCGCATCTTATCCAGGAGAGGAGGACAGCCACACCCTTTCACCTCCGCAGTCCTCACCCAGTCTTCTCAGCTGTTCTTCGGCAGGGAAGATTAGCCTCCATTCTGCCGATCCCCAGCCCCTCCAAACAGCTGATTGTTGGCTCGCCCTCCACCTCCTGGAAGCTCGTAGCAGTTGCCTCCTGAGATGTCAGGCTGCTTGGTTTGCAATGCCCACCTTCCTGCCAGCCAGCTTGTCTTTGGCTCCCCACCGCTCCAGATGGCAGAATCCCTCAATCCAGCACCATAACCTCCCCGCCCCCCAAGGGGATGTGGGGTTTGATACACTATCTAAGACTCATTCTAGTACCAAAAGGACAGGCAAATTGAGCCCAAAATTTCTGTTGCTAAGTGAGACAGTTGTTAAGTGAATTTTGCCCGTTTCTTGCCACAGATGGATCACTGCAGTTTTTAAGTTAGCAACACGGTTGTTAAGTGAATCTATCTTCCCCATTTACTTCGCTTGTCCGAAGTGCGTAAAAGGTGATTAAATGACCCTGGGAGACTGCAATCATCATAAATAAATGCCAATTGCCAAGCATCCGAATTTCAAACACGTGACCACAGGGATGCTGCAACAGCTGTTTGAAAAATGGCCATAAGTCATTTTTTTAAGTGTCACTATAACTTTGAACTGTCACTAAACAAATGATTGTAAGTCGAACAAGGGTGGGATTCAAATTTTTTAACAACCCGTTCTGTGGGTGTGGCTTAATTTGTGGATGTGGCTTAGTGGTCATGTGACTGGATGGGCATGGCTTGCTGGGTGATCACGTGACCGGGCATGGCCAGGTGACTTGCAAACCAAATACAAGTGGTCCTCGCTTAATGGTTGGTTGCTTAGCAAGTGTTCTAATTTAAGACTGACCTCCCCCGAGCTACTTAATCTGTTTTTGGAGTTTTGACAGCCATGCACGCGCGCACACACACACACACACCCTTCTAACCCAACCCTGCTATTCTATGATTCTGTAAGGATCTCCTGCTGAAGAAGGGGGTTGGACAAGAAGATGACCTCCGAGATCCCTTCCAGGCCAGCCCTAGATTGCTGTGCTCTTTCAAAGAGTCTTCTGAAGCCAGGGTTTGTGTCCTTCCTTCCTTCCTCTCCTTTTTTTCCCTCCCTCCCTCCCTCCATGCATGTATCTATCCATCCATCCATATATCTCATTCACTTTCTCCTCCCTCCCTCTTTCTTTCTCTTTCTGTCTCTTCCTTCCATCCCCCTTTCTTTGTATATCCCTTTTCTTCTTTTCTCTTCTTCTTTCTCTCTCCCTTTTTCTTTCTTTCTTGTCTTTTCCTTCTCTCTTTCTCTTTCCCTCTCTTTCTCTCTTCTTTCCTTCTCTTTCTATCCCTTCTCTTCCTCCTTCCCTCTCGCCTTCTAAAGCTAGGAGACCCATCTGAAACAAACAAACACGCACACACGCTTCCAAACAAGTATTTTTCAAGAGCCCGGCAGTGTTGCTCATGACAAGGGTTCTTCCCAGCCAGTCTCCCAGAGTCCCAGGGACCAGGCGCAAATGGACAATCGTGCTCGGTTTTGTGTTGCCCGGAAAAGATGGCAGGCAAGGCTTCCAGGTCCAACAAAGGGGTCACGGGTGGGACTTCCTCCCCTCCATCTTTTGGGGAAAGGAAAGGACTGGGAACTTCAAGCGAGGCATGTGCTGCAGCCCCGCCTACCCTGCCGGCAGCTCTGGGTTAGGGAGCGGTTTGGCTTTCTCTACTGCCTGCAAACTTACCTTCCTCCCGCAGCTGGTAGCAGCGGGAAAGGTGAGCCAGTCAGGGCAGAGCCCTTGCCACTCAGCTCCCTGCCAGTGTGCATCTTGTCCCCTGCCCGGATTCTCTGCAGCTGCTGGGGCTCAAGGATGCCGGGGGACTGCGGGAGGCAACCAGGGAGTACGAGACTATGCCGCCCGAATTGCCCCTCTGCCAGCCGCCCCTCCCTTGCGGGGCCAAGCGTTTTAGTCGAGTGCAGGCTGTCGTTGTGAAAATGGTGCGAGCTCCATGGGCTGGAATGTAAGGCTGATGGTGGGGAAGGAAGATCCGCTCTGGCGCGGCTTGACTTGCATTATTCTCACAGCAGCAGCCTGCACTTGGCAAAGTGCACGGGCCGGCAGGCGGCAGAGGGAAGGGGCGGCAGGCAAAGGGGTGATGCGGGCGGCATAGCGTTGTGCTCCTTGGTTGCCCCCTTCCCCCACCCCTAGCAGGCAAGGCCCAGCAGCTGCAGAGAATCCAGGCAGGGGGCGAGATGTAGGCTGGTGGGGAGCCGAGCGGCGACGGGTCAGCCCTGGCTCACCTTCCTCTCTGCCACCAGCAAGCCAGGCAAGCTGGAGGATGGGGATGTTGGGGAGGGCAGCTAGCTAGGCTGCGAGTGCTGAGGGTGGTGGTGGTCTAGGCCAGTCCGGGATGTGTGGCAGTAGTGGTGGCAAGGGCAAGGGTGGCAGCGGTGGCTTGTGGCGGTGGTGGCATGGTGGTGGCGGCCTAGGCTGGCCCAGGAGTCAGGATTTAACTGGGGCTGGCGGCAGCAGCAGCATGTAGGCGACCGGAGCTTGCACAGCCTCACTCCCCTAGGGAGATCACAGATCAGATTCAGATCAGGCGGCGCAAGGCAGGCAGTGATGGTTCATGGCTGGTGGGCGGGCGAAGGCAGAGTGCAGGCAACGATGGCACATGGCCAAGATAAGGAGGGGCAGGGCAGGCGCAATGATGGGATTCAAATAATTTAACAACCGATTCTCTGCCCTAATGATTTCTTCCAACAACCAGTTCACCAAATTGCTCAGAAAGTTAACAACCGGTTCTCCTGAAGTGGTGTGAACTGGCTGAATCCCACCACTGGGCAGGCGGGGACAGCAGGTGGCACAATTTGCCAGTTCTCCGAACTGTGCAGAGTCGTAGCAACTGGCTCTACAGAACCGGTCAGAACCGGTAGAATCCTACCCCTGAAGTCGAGGACTACCTGTATTTCCAAGTTTGCTTTTATTCAGAAGCACTTTCAAGATGCATTAATGCTGTGATGATTAATGTATATAATTTTTCACAATTAATCCCAAGGAAAGATACAAAAGAAATAGACATAATAGCTGCTTTCCAGATAATAATGATTCAGGAGACTTACTGTATACAACTGAGCAGCAAACTCTAAACATTTCAAAGATCGATTTATTTTCTACATCAGCAGTTGCCAACCGGTGGGCCGTGGCCCACTGGTGGGCAGCAAAAAATTTTTGGTGGTCTGCAGAGAAATGCCACCCCAAAGCAGCCCCCCAAAGCAATTAATCCAGGCTGTGGGGAACACAAGGCTTGCGCTGCTTGTATTAGGAACACGAGGTAGTGAGGGGAGGGAGGAAAGAGCGGAGGGGGGAACTTGTCTGGCCCCTGGGTTGCTTCTTCTGCTTTTGGCTGCGTGCAAGGAAAGCAGCAAAAGTCTTTCTTTCTCTCCCCCAAACTCTGCCAGAAATGAGTCTTTGGGACCCTGCAAGGCATCCTGCTCCAAGAGGCTACGCTGGCAAAGACTGATTTCTGGCGGAGTTTGTGGGGAGAGAAAGAAAGACTTCTGCTGCTTTCCTTGCACAGCCTGAGAACGGAGCTCAAAAGCAGGCTAGGAATGGGGCTGCCTTGGAGGGGGTGTGATGGAAAGAGAGCAACAGAAAGAAAATCACCAGCCCTGAAGTTAGATTGGATCTTTCTCCCCCCCCCCTCAACTCCCTCTGAGAATGGAGCTCAAAGCAGGCTAGGAATGGGCCTGCTTTGGAGGGGGTGAGGGTGTGTGAAGAAGAGAGAGAAAAAGAAAGAAAATCACCAGTCCTCCTTGGATCTCTTTCCCCCTCCCTCTGAGAACGGAGCTCAATGCAGGCTAGGAATGGGGCTGCCTTGGAGGGGGTGGGGTTGTGTGAGGGAGAGAGAGAAAGAGAAAGAATATCACCAGTCCCCCTCCCTCTGAGAACAGAGCTCAAAGCAGTCTAGGAATGGGACTGCTTTGGAGGGGGTGGGTGTGTGTGAGGGAGAGAGCAAAAGAGAAAGAAAATCACTAGCTCTCGAGGTTAGATCGGATCTCTCTCTCTCTCTCCTTTTCCCTTCCACCAATGTCAGCAAGCCACAGCAGTCAAAATTCACATTAGTGGTCCCCGGGATTTAAAATAATGATTTTGGTGGTCTCTGAGGTCCAAAAGGTTGGCGACCCCTGCTCTAGATGACAGGAGGACAGTTAGAAAACAAATGAAAAAGTCTCTATCCTAATATACATAAGCATAAATTGCTTTGAAATGGAAAATAATCATTGCTTTTCTGAAAAACATGTTTGGAAAAGAATTTCTTTCCATTCAGGTAGCTACCAAAAAGCAGCTGGGCACACTGTTGGATTGCAGAAAAATAAGATGGTAAGCAAACCTGATAGCTTCTTCATTTCTCACAGCAACTAAAGCAACATTACTGAAAGAAAGCAGATGATAGAGCCATTTCCACTGTGCTATAAACTTCATTAAGCTCTGTCCTGATACCGCATGGTCCCAACCTTCATTCATCTTTAGATGTCCTTGTTTGAAAATGCCTCCCAGCACCATGGCACAAAAACAGAAGCACACATTAATTCCGCCTGTCCTAAACATGGTAGGAAAAAGAAGTGGTTCTATATTCTCACCTGGTGATGTTTGCCCTGGATTTTGGCTCGAGCAATCTCAGAGCTGTTGCGCCGGGGTCCACGTCGACGACGAGCATAATTTGCTTCTTGGAGCTCTTTTATTTTTTTCCTTTGCAGACGTAGTTGGTGGCTGCAGCTCACATTATACCTATTATGACCAGAAATAAAACATAATTTCTGTTCCTTAGAAATAAAATAAAGCTTCTTTTCCAGTCTTAGTATCTAGGCATTCATGCTCTAAATTACTTTTTTAGGAGTCATAAATTTGAAGAATACCCAATTATCATTACCTCTTTGCACATGTTACAGAACAGAACCTCTTGGAACCACGGAACTGACTTGCAGGGCCATATTTGCCGCAGAACTCACATTTCAGCAAGTTTCCTTTCTTGTCTTGATCTGAGGAAATGACAGATAAAGAGATACCTTAGCAATCTAATTTATTAGCAAAAATAGAATGTAAACCTAAATACTATTTGAGAAAAAAATGTATTATTCCACAGAAAGACTATACTAAATATTTATTTAAAGCATGAATCTTTCCCTTAAGAAAGTCTCGAAGCCACATAATTTTTATACTGGGTAAACATTAAACTTGACAATGCTAACAATCTGGGTAACTTTTCAAGAAAAACCATATCAATTCCTAAGAATGTGAATTGGCACTCAGCCTCTTCTTGCTTTTTAAAAAATGGACAAAATATTTGAAAATTATTTAATAGGAAGAAAATATATCATCATAACCATGATGCGAGATTTCTTTCTATCTACTCTTAGTTCTCAGCAAATACTCACCAACTGTTAAACTTTCTACTCCAGGAGAGTTGCTGGGTTGGTTGTTAGATTGCCTAGAAGGAGTGGCCCCTTGAAGAGGCTTTTCAAAGTCTTTAAGGAACTGAGAATAGCCCACCTGCATTCAAGAGAAAAGGAAGAAAAAACTTGCATTAGCTTTATTGACAGCCTTTACTTTTTACATGCAATTAATTTTTTTCCTCTGGCTTTGGTAGTATCAGCTAAGTCCACAGGGAGATAATTCTGGCAGGTACAGAAGGGCAAGGAAGAATACATTGCTTACTCATGTTACATCATACCAATTTTTTAAAAAAGTATTTTTACTTTAATTGAATATAAAAACAAAGAGAAAATAATATACAATTTTAGAAACAAACAGGATATAAAGGATTATTAAAGGATTCACATATATAAACATTCTATATAAACATTTCAATGAATGATAGCTGGTTTCATTATAATCATTCATTATAATCTATATCAATAAAAGTTCATAATATTAATTTTGCAGACCACTGAGGAACTAAGGGCCATATTTCTTTGCAATGCTGAATAATATATCTTTTAGCTATAAATAGGAAACAGAAAATCTACTTTCTGTATTCAGATGTCTACCTTTATGCAGTAGGAACATAATTCAAAAGACTCTGAACATATCAAAGTATATATGCTCATACACCACCTCAATGGAACAATTACAGGACAGGGAAGAAATATGAATTTATAAAAACCATTAATCTCATTGTAATCCCAATATCACAACAATTTATATATTATAATTTTATTAATTTATGCAAAAAAATAAATAAAGATTCATCATTTTCATCTATTCTCCCATAATTGAGATTTATCAATTTAGAATGACAAAAAGGATCAAAATGCTATGGTAACAACCTTCTTACCGGGAAAGGCTCTGCCCCTTCTTGAATAACAAAGCCCTCTATGATATGTGTAAGAATCTGAGGTTTGACAATGGCTTGTGGAGGTTTGGAATCTCCAGTCTGACGTGACGACACAGCCAGTGTAGGAACAGAAGCAATTGTTGGATTTGCAGAGTTGGGATCACTTGGGGATGCATTTAGAGTACCACTGGTGACAGAGTCAGTCTTCTCTAAAACAGAAACATCATTAACAAAGTAAAATTTAAAACTGCTGTATATTTAACAAAAAGGATTTGTTTTATAAAAATTAAATCCACATATTCTTTGTTAAATATAATTCTATGTGGGAATTGCATATATTGTTGAACCGGTATATATTGAGGTATCATATTATCTGATTGATTGAAATAAAAAAATTGAAACATTGAAAATGTTAAAACATAGCTAAAAAACAACAGGTGATATTAATAATAATGGAGCCACCTCACTAGTTTGCTGGTCCTCCAAGGTTCTCAGGCATAACCAAGTCTTAAGACCTTTGAAAACGCAGACATGATGGAGTCAGCATCATTATATTTGTTAAACAGTATTTAATCCCCTTACAGAATTTGAAGATTCAATAGTAGTTAGGATGGATGATATAGCAGGACAATTACTGCTTATAATAATTTCTTCCAAAGGGGTCTCACATGTTGATCTCAACTTCTCATGTCTATTTCTACTCATAGGAAAATCACATGCTGATTGAGGACCAGAGAGAACAGTATATTTATGAGTCATGGAGGGGAGAAAATTATATGTGGAAACAAAGCTTGGTCCTAAACATTTCCCAAGATTCAGAGGCCTTACTATATTTCTTGATATAGGATCATTAAGATTCTGTTCATGTACAAATCAGTGGTGGTATTCCATCAGTTCGGCCAGGTTCGGGCGAACCGGTAGTAAAAAATGTTACCGTTTGTCCCAACTGGTATTTCTTTCTCTCCCCTGTCCAATGATCAGCTGTGCCGGGATCTCCCTCGCTGTCTTACTGCTTCGCCCAGTAGGCTTCCCTGAGACCCAGGAGGCAAAAAAAAAAAAAAAACCGGGGGGGGGGGGGGGGGGGGGGGGGGGGGGGGGGGTTCCAGTCACAAGGCCATGCACACCTAGCCACGTCCACAGAACCGGTAGTAAAAATATTTGCATCCCACCACAGTACAAATGCCTCAATCCCCAACTAGAAAAAACTTGTGATTTACCTCTAAAGTAATCTGATGTTTTATATGAATTTACACATATGGGTTTGTGCCTACGTAATATCCATTCCAACAGACAGACACCCACTGTCCTCAATAGTGCACTTATCATTTCACTCAGTTTTGTCAGTCCTTTCAGGTAGGCAAAGACAAGAAAACAGACACAAGAAATACTAAAACTCTATTTAGCCTATAAAAAAACTTGAAAATCTAACAGTTTCCCCCCTTCCTTCCCTCCTATACCAATAAGACTCAAAACAGGGCAATCCTGAGTTTCTTTCTCAACCTATCTGGTATTCCTGGGTAATGTTCATGGTTTACTAATGGTTGCTGTATATTTTCTATTTCTCTGTACTTTTCTATACATTCTGAAGGGCATAAACACCATCTTAAAATTAAAGTAAACTCAATGTGTCAATTGGGTAGGATGTGTGAATTTAGATTTGGCCTTAAATGCAAGCTACTCAATGCAAGAAGCCTTGTAAATAAAATGCCTGAATTTTTCCTCTTACTAATTATGGCTAAATTCGACATTATATTTGTCTGTGAAACATGGCTCAACACATCTCTCCCTGACTCCATTACCACAGTAATAGACTATCATGTTTACCATCAGATCAGATCATGAAATCCGTAGAGGAGGTGGTGTTGCTATCTTCTATAAAAAGTCCTTACATCTAAAAAACACCCAAGTTACCCAGAAGCTTGCTATTCCTGAGACTATGAACTGTCCTTAAATATCACATTTCGGTTCTTACTATGTTACAGAGCCCCTGATTATGACATTGAACATGCAAACAAGCTAAATATGCTACTAACATGGGCAGCATCCTTCCCATACCTATTATCTTTCTTGGTGACTTCAATCTACCTCATATTAACTGAACCCACACATGCAACCTTCTACAATGCAGTAACAAATCTGGGACTAGAACAACTAGTAAACAACAATACTAGACTTAACAACTGCCTTGATCTCATCTTCTGCAATAGTTTGAATTCAATTTACGGAATACAAATTAAAGAACCCTTTTCCAACAGTGACCAGGTCAACATGATTGACTTTTGTCTCAACATACGTCCACACAAAAATCATCACAATGACAAAATCTCCAATTATAATTTAAAAAAAGGCAACTATGATCTTATAAACAATGATCTCTCATTCCTTGATTGGCAATTTCTATTCTCTGAATGCAATACTGTAGAAGACCATTACAACATATTTTTACTTGAAGTCAAAAGAGCCATCAAACTATATGTACCATTAACAACTCCCAAAACCAGAAAAAACAAATTACCCAAAACAATAAGGAAGCTTCAATCCAAAAAGAAATCACTTTGGCGGAAAAACAAATCTGGTCACGTTGCCAACTTCAAAAGCCGATACAAAAATTTATGTCACCAGATAAAAACTGAATGCACCAATTATCACATTAAACAAAAAGAAAACCTTCTACGCACCAATTCCACCTGCGCTTTCTACAATTTTGTAAACAACAAACTAAAAGACTCAAGGTCCATCCCACCCCCGAAACGACCTAATAGTAAAGACTGCAATGACGACTCTATTAAAGCCAACCTCTTTAACACATTCTTTGGCTCAGTATTTGTAAACAGCAATGGATCATGCCCAGTATTTCCTAGTCGAACCACAGACAACTACAATGATCTAATACATATCGATTTTACAGAAGACATTGTTGAAAAAGCATTGCGCAATCTAAAACCATCTCTATCTACTGGACCGGACGGAATATGTGCCTACTTCTTAAAAAAGCTATCCACTGCCATAGCCACACCTCTAAGCATAATCTTTCAAAAATCTTTCAGGACTAGCTCCTATGGTCACAAGCCACGGTCATCCCCATCTTCAAAGAGGGAGACCCCAGCGTAGTTGAAAATTACAGACCAATCTCTTTATGCTGCGTCACCTGTAAAGTCATGGAATCAATTATTAACCAATCCATCATCCTCCACTTGGCACAAGACACTTCAACAAGTCTATCACTGATAACCCAGTTGGATGAAACAAACTATGTTTCCTGGTCTATGAAGTGCAGTCTACTTCTGCGTAGAGAAGGGTTATGGAATGTAGTTCAAGACCCACCGGATGTAAATGCTTGGGATCCAGAATATGAGGATGATGCCAAGAAGCTTGCTGACTTTAAACAGAACGAATGAGCTCTTTGTATAATTGGACTAACACTGAGTGACCAGCAGCTAGTCCATATTCGTGGAGAAGAGTCTGCTGCTAGGTGTTGGGAGAATTTGAAGAGGATTTATGTTCGTGACAGTGTAGGTGCACACATACATCTTATACGTAAACTGTTTAGAGCATGTCTTCTGAAAGGTGGAGATATGTTAGCTCATTTGAACTTCATGAAAAGAACTTTTCAAGAGCTACATGAAAAAGAACTGATATTTTCAGAGCTGCATCAAGTTTACATCATTCTTTCCTCATTGGATGAAAGTTATGATGATTATGTATCTTCACTGGAAGTCCTGCCCAGAGATAAACTGACAGTGACTGACATAACCGGAAGGTTGTTAGAAGAAGCAAGAAGACGGCTGGATAGAGACCAACTGAGGAAGGAACAATCACAAGAAGAGAATTTGTCTTCAACTGCTTATCCTGTTTAGAAATGTTTTTCTTGTGGGGCTAGGGGACATATAGCTAAATTTTGTAAGAAAGGAAAACAACAGAATACTAGCAAACACCAGAAGGCCAAGAAGAATGTTAGTTTAGCTATGTCTAGGAATTCAACTGTAAACCATGATTTGTGGGTTGTTGATAGTGGAGCATCGCAATGCATTACTAAAGATAGACAAAGGTTTGTAAAGATGTCCACGAGTAAACAACATGTATCATTGGCAAATGGATGGAAGATGAACGCATCAGATCAAGGTACTGCAAATTGTTCTTGTATAAACAAACATTTAATTATGTTATATGTACCTAAACTGAAATGTAATTTATTATCAGTAAGGTCTTTAGTTAATCTTGGTTATGTAGTAAGCTTTAGGGGAGATAACTGTATAATAGAGAAAGAGGGTAAAAGTGTTACTGCTACATTAGAAAATGATTTATATGTGATACATGATGATCAGTTGAAGATGGCTAAGTCAGTTTATAACAATGTTAAGCCACATGATGAATGTATATGCAGTAATAAAACAGCTTCGGTACATACCAGGCCTCAAGGCCTCAAGGCCTCACGTAGGCTGAAAGCATGTGCCAGAAACGAACATCAATCAACCAGACGTCACCATGGGCTAATAACTGGAATGCAAACGCTAATTGGCTACTTAGTACCTTTTAAACTGACCATGTAACTGTGATTGGATGTTACTATGTGTGCACTAATATTCTTACTCATGTAACTTAATGATTGGATAGAATTCACCGCTTATGTGTTTTTAATAAAAGAGCTTCCCGAACTTGTGATCGGGGCAGCTCACCCAAGATAGAACCTGCGTTGGTGTCTTTCTTGATGCATTCGACCACCCAGTGAAAAGCCTTCCTAATGCGGAGCAAAGCCGCATCTGGTGACCCCGACGTGATCCGTTAAAAGAAATGGGTGCGTCTGTCTTCGACTGCTTATCTCACCCGGCCGGACGAGCCAGTTGCAACTCAGGGACGCCGTCTCGTGTCACGGATCCCTCCCCAGAAATCTTCCTTAAAGAAGACATCCTCCCTTCAGGTGAGTATGGGCGGAAAGTTCTCCAAAGCGCAGATAGCATATTTGCAGGAATTAGGAGAATTAACGAAGAGCTCAATTCGTATTCTTAGGAATCAGGGCAAAAAGCTCCCGGTTCCAACTAAAAAGGACCTTATCACCCTTTTGACTTACATTTACACACAATGCCCGGCTTATCCGGAGAAAGGGTCCTTGAAAGTCTCCACATGGCAACGTTTGGGTGACTGTTTTCATGATAACCCCAGGGCTCCGCCAAAGATTCTGACCACATGGAGAATAGTCCTGGAATGTTTA